ACTACTCTGCAGGCTATTTCAGAAAAAATATATCCCTCTGCTTTTCCTAGAAAACGTTATTTAAATATTAAATAATGATGACAGTTCAACTCAAGATTGCCAATTATATTTCTAATAAAAAACAACATTATAATTATATGGCACTCTGGATAGTATTAAAATAAACCACATATGGTGTATTATGATATAATACAAAAGAAAATACATATGAACGAAAATTGCAATACATTAACATCAAAGTATTTTACCTGGTGAACTGGAAGATGGCTAATGTATTTTGTATGATCTGGAGAATTTATTGCAGCATTAATTTCTTTACAAGCTGCTAAAGTTTGCCAAATATTGTCCACAGTCTGCCACCATCTTTGCCCCTGAAAATGAGATGTAGCAAAAATTTATATGATTGCATATACTTGTACTGTAATGTGAAAACTAAAAAATGAAGATAGTGTATACTACAAAACAAGTTATATTGACATTTTCATCAATATTCAAAGCAGTAAAAACCACATATGATATGTTTATGCTGGTAGGATTTTCAAGATTTTTCACACCTTTGGGTGGAATTGCCCCACTCTTAATATTGATGGAGAGCAGCTGAGAGGCGGCTCTATGTATTGTTATATCCTACTACAGTATAGTAGACTAAATTTGTAATATCAAGATAAATTACTTGATACAAAACTAGTGTATTTCACATAGATAAAATGCAACAAAACTGAAGAATGTACTGTATTCAGGCAAAAAAAATTGCCTATAGCTGGACTTAGCTAGGTATTCTATTATTGTAGTTAGGCTCCAGGGTGGTTAGGTAGTGTAAGCCTTTTCTTTTGTAAGGAAAATCAAACAAAAAAAGAATCCTTTGCCCTGAGCATTAAAAATTAAATAAAAAATACATAAACATAAACATAAACCGTAAAATCAGAGTACGCCAGCATTAGCCAATCACAGTAAAGTAGATTGATAAAAACTTGTTTTACCTTTAAAGGATCATTTGCTGAGTCCAATATTAAAGGCATTATGCTGTCTGCATATTCCAACCTTTCATTTTGAGATGCTCTGTAAACATGAAAATTTAATTGTTGAATGATGAATAAATATATATGTACAACATAACTCACCTGAAAAAACAATGCTATTCAATCAACAACAATAATATTACACTGTTGGGGGAAAAAACATTTGCCAACCAAATATTTTTGTTAATAAAACTGTCAAAATATGCACTAAATGTCATAGGAAAAGGAATCGGTACTGAACATACCTTTTCTTAAGTCCAGTTAGGTTGACAAGATGTATCTTAATCCACTTCAGGCCATGTTCTCCAAGTGGCTTACCATGTCCAAAAAGTAACAGGCTTCTAGTTACATCATTACCAAGGTGATTGAAGTGTGGAGGATATGGATACACTCGCCCTCTAAAGTCCATATTGTGTGGAAACCAGAAAATCTTGTTCCGAAACTAAAGATTGTTTAAAATAAATAATTCGATTAATTTAAAAAATTAAAATTTTGTTATGCCTGCAACTTAAAATTTTTTTTTTGTTTAGTCTGTGTTACACCCTGTCTGTAGTAGCAGCAACCATAACTGACGTACATTAACAGAGCCATATATAGGGCTAATCTTCTAAATAATACCATTTTATAGGCTTTTAAATTTTTTAATTGAGTTCATTCATACTAACAGTTAGTAGCTTCATTTCAGAAGTAATTTTGTGTGTTACGAACAATCCGCACATAAGACAAATATGTATATGTTGCAACTCCCTGTTTGATCGTAATTTGCTATTTTAAGCCTCGTCTTATATGCAAGAAGATAGGGTAATCGCCTACCACCTTTGGCTAAAAAACTCCTTTTGTTGCAGCCCGATGACGAACATCGCTAAAAGATAACATAAAAACTAAGCATAAAGCTGTATTAAATTAGTGTATGAAGGATTTCGCAAGCATATTGATAACATCCAATTTTCACCATAATTTTCGGTCCTATTAAATAAAAAATTCAGTTTGGCCCTCCGACCCATTTTTATTCCCACCCATAGGCTTAGCCAATTCTTTATAATCTTCAAATCTATCGAGTGTTACATTAAACTAAAGCTAAATCATATTTACGTTTAATAAAAACAACATTTATTGATTGAATGTACATATTTTTCGTACCAATATTCGGTGGGGATTCCCAAAGATGGGCGTGGCCCACCCATCAGCTCAGTGCCACACCCACTGGCTTCCATTTTGGACGGCCTATACTGTTTTTCTGGTTAAACCCCTGTTCCCACCTCTGCGCTAGATGCTTCAACAAAGTAAAGTCAGTGGTGAGTGTGGCCATTAATAAAACACTTGTTAGCCAATTCTATAACTGCTACTAATTAAATTTGGTTGAAAAAATTAGCTGATGATCAGGCTACAAGTCCTGAGGTTCTCTAGAAGTTCATTTCAATTTTGTACACTTGTGTTTGACTCCTTTACCCAAAGTACCATATAAATAGGTACCTGGTAGGATGTTCTGACACTGAATGTATTGGCCTTGTGCTGTTCTCCTATTGGCAACATTGATTAGGTATACTCCCAGAGAGCTTGCACTTTGTGCCTGTGTGATGTTTGTTTTTTAATTTCTATCTACAGGGAAACAATTATTCGACAAATATTATTTACCCAATAAAATAAGAATATTCTGACAATATGTACATTTCTATTAATTTGTAATACCTGTTTCATGGTATAATACCCCAAATATTAGTATTGCCATATTGGTAAAATGTTTTTCTTTTAATGTCAGATTATTTTGGGTGATTTCATAATGAAAATTCTGTATAGACCATTCCATTTATTCTCCCTCTGCAGATGCCATAGCTGGGGGCTTCCAGTGTGCATCTGTTACAAATGTAAATATCAGAATTATTGTATGTACAGTATGTTGTTTCAATCATAATTTACTTTTCAATACATCGCACCAAGTAGGTACCCAGCAATTGCAGCGCAAATAGAGAGGGCCCCTTGTTTATGTATTTATCTATATGAAACTGACAAAAGGAGCTTAGACAATCATCCTCATGCAATTTACAATTAACATTAAACTCCAATTCTTAACGTTCCATGCTTGTAGCATTTAATAGTAATTCTTTTATACTTAATCTTGCTATTCTACTGTTTGTAATTTATTTATATATAAATAGTTTATATTTAAGTAGCTGCCATCGTTAACATGGCTTGCTTAAGTAGCTAATGGTATATACTACAAGCAATGTAGCATCACCAATTAACCTTAGCTTAGTTTCTAACAATTTAATGACAAGAGAGGAAAATACAAATGCAAAATATTTTGCCAATTACAATGAATCTGATCTCAATTTCTAGAAATACCTCTTATAGAATCAATTTTATTTTTAGAATGCAGCAGAGTTCTATATAAAAATATATATTACTATGTCAATTATTATATAATGTTATTTTTTTGGGAAACCAAATTACTTCTAAATTACAAATTAACAGACGCTTACTATATAATTTTAAAAAGGACTGACATTTCGGGTCCATCACGGAACCATTTTCAAACACACCAAAGAGATGACATTAATTAACATTATCAATAATGCCTACTGTGTAGAGCTAAAGCAATATTAAATTCGTCCCTCTTAGAAGATTAACTAGATAAACAGTTTGGCTTTGACTGAATCAGTTTGTTGAGTGTTGGTTTCAGTTCTTTGATCCAAAGCATTTCTTAAACCATGCTTTAACTAAGCAATCACATTTGGATTTCCACTTTAAGATAATTAAATATCCTGAAATAATTATCAGTTTCAGTAACACTAATATCATGATGTTTTAAGTGTTGTTCTGTTACTTCATCAGTACTTTAATAAAGGTTTTGACAAGTATAGTTGACATCGCTTGCATCACACATACCACAGTGAAATTTGTATACACCACATTGATCATCAACAATCTCATGTTTTCTTTTGATTTTAGATTTTGCCTATCTTGCTGATAGTGAATACTGGCATAATGTCATTATTACACTTAGAGCTAAGCTGTTTAAGATGTTTAGATATGTTGTTGGAAAAAGTTCAATCTTTATATTCTAATATAAGTTGTTCGACAATTTCTTGACTTTTGTAGTAGTAATACTGTTAGGTGCATTAACAACAGATTGTTTAAAATCATTAATGATACTACTCATTAATTATGTTGGATATTTTATTTTATCAAACATTGCTACAATATTTTTAACTTCCTAAAAGAAACAATTCATTTGTTGACGATAATTTGTAAGCTCTATTAAGCATAGTATTTGTACAAGATTTCTTTTTTATTTATTATCTACATTACTATCATAATGAAGAAGACCTTTGATGGTAGGTTTCTTAAGCCGGGCACACACTGCTTCGCTATCTGTGAGCGCTAGACGACGCAATGCCGTCTGCTGATTGCCGGCGGCAGTCTGAACTGATCGTCATTAAAAACGATCTGTTATGCGCACGTCGTGATTGTTACGTTCTACATATAATCGCATTGGGAGCAGTAAACACCAGGTTTTGTACACTTGAGTCTCCAATGATGAAGTTTTACAAATAACTGTTTCTGAAGCTGAAGAAATGGCAAAAAAAAATGATGTAAATGGAGGTGGTTAACCAGGGGGCTAGGGAACCTCGTGTTCTATGCCATTAAATCAAGTCAAAGGCAAAAATTTATAGAATTGTTAATGGCTTAACAAAACCAAACCGATTCAGTTTATGTCAAACTGTTTATCTAATTATTTTGCCAGGAGGGGCTTAATTATTGCTTACTGTAGCTCTACACAGTAGGCCCTATTGGTATGTTAATTACTTTCTTCCTCTTAACCTCTTTGGTGTTTCTGTTTTTAAAAAAATAATTTGATCTTGAAAATGGTTCCATGATGGACACAAAACATCGATCCTTTTGTCATTAAATTTTATTTTCAGAAATATTTCTCATTCATCTGTTCATCCTTGGAAACTGACAGCTTTATGGCATTAAGATGATGTGTTTTATCTTGTCAATTTATGGAGAATGGATATGTATACTGGCTATGCAATTGATAACTAAAAGTAGAAAAGAAAGCGTACATACTGCATTAGCAATTGATAGCTTATAAACCTCATTCATCCTTAGAGAATGCATTTCAGATTTTTTCTTACGGGAACTCATTCTCAATTTCTGAATTTCAATCATTGCCTCACTTGTCATACCTCTAGAAGTAAAAACAAAAGAGTTCCAATGAAGAATTAGGGAATAAGTGAATGCTCAGAAAAAAATAATAATTAATAGTAAATTAATGTGGACAGTAAACGGCAATCCAAGATACATTTACAAGTATAAATTCGCCATGTGAGAAGATTAATATTTGAACAAAATTCTTGTTTTAACACATTTGAAATAAATTTGCTTCTAGTAAAAAGTTCAACAACATTGTTCTTTCATTTAAACCAGAATTCAATAACCTATGGAATAAATTTTAATTGTAATGTTACAGTACTAAATCTCATAAGACTTTCCAATTTTGTTTTTATTTAATAATAATAATAGTAATAATATAATAGATAGATTTATATAGCACAGATAAACGAGGTCTCTTTGCGCTTGGGACTAGATGTTGCACTTTTCAATAACTTTCTCCTCCCTTGAGAGTCACTTCATGTCCACCGCAGCCAGTAAACTGGTGCACTTTCATCTGTACAGGGGCCAAGTGAACCAGTACACCGAGGTAACCCCTTACTCATCTGGAAAGATGTACTGGGTTCTTTAAAGTGCACATGAGCATAAGACTTGTTCCACCACCAGAACTATAGGAGCTAGCCGGCCGCGAACCTGTGCTGATATTGTTGGCTATGATCATGGTGACCCTGCCTTAACCGCTCGGCCATTTGGCAAGAAACACAATCAAAGTGTTTCTTCTAATAATAATTGTCATTTCTTATTTTGGCGGCCATCTTGGATTTGAAGCCAAATTCTTGGTGGACCGTGATTGATCTTGAAAGGTTTTAGTTCTGAGATGACAAATCCACTAAAAAAACGTTGACAAAACCAAATGACATGCTGAATATCTCTAATAGCTTTAAATTGGATTTGAGGCAAAATCTGGGTCCCCCCTACAAGCTAATTTCAAATAGAATGGGGTTAGGCTGATGAAACCGCCGAGAAATACTTGACCGGAAAAATTGGCAGTTTTCCCTTGGTTTTGCCCTAACTATAAGTGTCCAAGGCACAATCACTGTGCCAACTATAAAATAAAATACAGAAAATAAAATATAGCTTTGATAGACCCTACAAAATGTTTAAATAGACTTTGAAATCTGACGCATCAACCAAAATTACATGTGTTAATGAGCAATAGTAGTAAACATTTCAATTATCAAATAGTCCATATAATTAAGATAGAACTCAGTCACAAATAACATTATATAATGTATTTAATATATTTACGTACTGTACTGTATATAATAATGAACAGCATTATATTAATCTTACTATATAGATCATGGTCATCTTCAACTAATGTGATTGTAACTCTTTAACTTTTAAAACATGATCACACCTAAAATTTGGAATCATTAATTACTCAGAAAGATCAGGCCTAAGTGCGCAATTTTTGGGCAATTTAGAGGCGGCAAATCCTATTTTCCATTTTGCCTCAGCTCCAACAATGGAACCGATGGACAATTTTGAGCATAATTTTCAAACTTCAATAAATATTACTGGATGGGTAAAAATATAACATTTTTACTACTGGTTTGATGTTGAAGAAATGAGATATTAACTTGACTTACTTGGAGTATGATGGTGGTTCTGGGCAGACTGAGGATGGTGGTGGAATATTTAATTTTTCATCTCCACCATTCCTAAATATATCTAACACTATATCCAATACCTGTAAAAAAAATTATGCCTTCTTTACAATTTATACCAAATGGTTCAATATAGGAAGTTGAGTGTTCCATTTATACAGGGGTATTCACCCTATTTTAGCCTTCGGTGGTTCACCCAAAAGTTACCCTTAGAGTGTACAACAAGAGGTTATCATCTCGGGGAGGGGGCTGGTTACATTTAATCCTGCAATTTTTAAAACTTGGTTCCATGCAACCTGAGTTCCAGTGTCCAGATTATGTAAATATAAAAGTTCACTGATATCCTTAAGCCATGCACACACTGTGCTGTACAACAGAACTCAAGATAGTCTTAACTTACTGGTTTGTTTACAATCCATGGAGTATTTGACAACTGATTCAATGAGTCTAAAACTGGATTGAGGTCACCACGTTGTATCTTATCCTTTAATAACTCAACCTGAAGTGAATCGTCTCTTGTTCTCATTACCGAACCTTTAAAAATAAAATCCTTTTTTACAGATGCAGTGTTATTTCTTTACTTTTTTAAATGATGAACCCTTACACAGTGTTACCCATAATCGAGAATGTTTTAAAACATGTACATTTATGCACTTAACAAGTACATTTATAGATTTATCAATTCCTGTTAGACAGTTAAAAACTGACTTTCTCATATATTCACCAAATGACGGTAAGCCAGTGGTAACAAAGAGATCACTAGCACTGCAAAACTAAGGCAGTTGTACTTTCAGACATTGCATAGTTTTATTTTTTTATTGTAATCAGACCACAGGTTTCATTACGCAAGAACTGTTAAATAACACACACGTCTAGGGTTATTCAGAACAGAAATTGAACCGCCTGCTAAAGATGTTTCCCCTGACACATAAAGAGTTATAGTGAAGCATTACATCAGCGTTGTCTTTTAAATCATCAGATATATA